TTAACCAATTAAAGTTTATAAGTTATAGATTAATATGTATCAAAAATTTCAATTTTTTAAAAAATGTCTCAGAATCCAATTTTCCTAGCAAACTTCCCATATGAGTATACTCAACTGAGTTGTTAAACAAAAAATCATTTCTTATTCAACAAAATTTTAGAATGAAGATAAGATTAATCTAAGAGCATAGTTTTTTTTGCATTTTTAAATTCAATGAGATAGTATATCTTAAACTTTATTAATCAATTAAGTAAAATAATAAAATTACATGCAAAAAGTCTATACAAAGTAAAAAATATTAACTTTAAAAAATAATTAAATTAAGCTAAATTTAACTGATTGATAACTTCAGTGAATAAAATATAAGATTTTATCCAAATTTTATCATTATCAAAAAATGAGTAATTACTACTTGTAAAAAATGTTGTAATTGCTGAAAATATATTTATTAATTAAAGTATGCTAATTAGAATATTTGTCATCTATTAGTTGAAATAAAGGATCAATATTAAATAAGTTAGTAATATAATCTATTATGATAAAATGAAAATCTACATTTTTAATAGAGATTGATATCTAAACTTTTTTTCTTTATGGATAATTAATAAACATCTTGAAATTCAAAGATCATTTAATCTTCTAGTATAAATTTATTAAATAATATAGTAAGTAAAGATGCTCTTTTAAACTATTTTGAGAAAATTTGAGTTTTGAGATATTTGAGATAAACTATTTCTTTATAATAAATATCTTTACCTAAACTTCTAATAGGTTTTTTTAAACTCAATTAAGTTTCATCAAGTTTTAGATTTACAAAAAGTCATTTTAAAGGTTTTGAAATAGTTTCTAAATTTTTAAGCTACATGTTAAAATAGGTTTTGAATAGCATTATTAATTAAAAATAAAAGCAAAGATTTTTTTACATAGTATAATAGTGTCTACTTGATTAAATAATGAACGAGGAATTAAAAAGGCATGACATAAGATGACAAATAATATATGGAATATAAACATATAAAGCATATGCATTAATAGTAAATGTCAGTGATAATATATAGTAAATTTCTTAAAATTATTTTATAAATAATAATTTATTAAATTAGAATAATAAAAATAAATTTTTATATAATAAAAAAATTTTTTTTAAAAAATAATATATTATTTAATAATAAATTTAAAGTTTTTTAATAAAACTTAAAACTTTACAATAGTAAATAAAAATTAAATTAAAATATTAAAAAACTTGATAAAATTTAATAAAAGATAAATTTATTGTGAACGGATAAATATGTTATAGCATAAATGATCAATAAATTTGACAATCTGATATATTTGACATTCTAATTAAAAGAATAAACACCTGAACATCCTGTCTAATACAGCTATAGATCGTAAAAAAATACATATTAATATTATATTAAGAGTCTTTAAAAATACATTTTTTTCAAAATTATAGTAATTTTTTTTTTCATTTTTTTTTAAACCTAAAATAAATCTTTCAAAACTACTTTTAATATTAGAAATTTAAGATTATTTTAGGTAATTTTTTAAACTTTTTTTTTTTTAACTTAAAATCTATTTTTATTTTTTATTTTTCTTTAGAATAACTTTAATTACTTTAATTAGAATTTAAAATGGATTTAAATGCTATTTTTAAATGGTTGTTTTTAAAACTATATTTTTTATTTTTATACCTGAATCACATAAATTAGTTGAATCATAACTCAAATTTTCTTATTTTTTTTCTAAAACACCTTTTAAACAACTATTAAATCATTTTTGAGTTTTTAATTTTATTTATAAATATGTAAATAGATCTATTGTCTCAAGCATAACAGAAGACATTTACTACTTGACTTTTTACCGTTAAAAATTTTTAGATGACTATGATGACATAAACAAAATTACTATATATATAATATATATAACATAACATTTATAAAAAATTTTGTAATTTCAAAAAGTTAAAATTTAAATATCCAAAAAAAGAAATATATTATTTGTTTATCATCTTTTACAAAATCTACGTGTAAATAATAATGAAGATGAGATTTAGATAGCAATATAACAAATAACCTTTTAATGATCTTGGCAAAACAGATAATTAAATTGGAATAATTTATGTTTATTCTAAGGCCATATCTCTCTTAATCATAGCAATAGCGCGACCTGGATTTAACCCTTTTGGACAAGTTCTCGTACAATTCATAATAGTATGACAGCGATAAACCGAAAAAGGATTTTGTAAAGCTTCTCTACGTTCATAACCATAATCATCTCGAGAATCCGCCATCCATCTATAAGCTTGCAATAATACAGCCGGTCCAAGATATTCATCTGAATTCCACCAATAACTTGGACATGCTGTAGAACAACAAGCACAGAGAATACATTCATAAAGACCATCTAATTTTTTACGATCAGCAATGGATTGAAGATTTTCGCGATCTCCTTCTTTTGGAGGGTTTTTTTTCTTAAGATATGGTTCAATGGATTTGTATTGTTTATAAAAATGTGTGAGATCCGGTACAAGATCCTTGACGACATACACTAAAAAAAAATGTAAATTAATTAATTGAAAAAAATTTATCAAATAAATTAAAAAGAAAACTTACTATGAGGCAATGGATAAATTTTAGTGTCTGAACCGCTAACGTCTATTTTGCAAAGACATGCCAAAGTATTAACACCATTAATATTCATAGCGCAAGATCCGCAAATACCTTCACGACAAGAACGACGGAAAGTCAAAGTGGCATCTTGTTCATTTTTGATTTTTATTAAAACATCAAGAATCATAGGTCCACATGCATTAAGATCAACTTTATATTGTTGCAATTTAGGTTTCTCGGCGGGTTTATCTGGATTCTATACAAAGAAATTTTCAATTGGTTAATTATATTATAAAAAGTTTTAATTAAGAGTAACTTACCCAACGATAAATCGAGAAAGGTTTATATTTGGGTTCTTTTTTCTGGATTGGTTCCTCGGTTAACGAAGGTGCATTCTAGTAATCAATAAGTGTTTTGAGATTAATAAAAATGATTGAAACAATTAATGAATAAATGAATAAAATACCTGTAACTCAGCTTGGTGAAAGGAGGAAGTTTTAAGCGAACGGGCAACGCACAAGGAAGCCTGAAATTTAATTTAAGTATTCAGAAAGAAATTTATAAGTTCAGTCTATTAATAGGTAAAAACATACAGCATTAATCCTAACCGAACGTGTTTTAGTTAGAGAGAAAACTCTTGAAAGTGAAAGCAAGCTCATCCTGTTGGAAAAAATAAAATAAAGATAAATGTGAAAAGGTTTTCTTCAGCTTTTATTAATCACGACATCTTTATCCATTACAGCCATTGCCCACATATTTTCCGTAAAACATGATATTTATCAGGCAATTTTACCGATCTATTTTATTGTAAAATCATCAAATATAAAATCTCGTATATAATGAAAATTACAAAATATAAATATGTCTTTTATATATTTAAGACAAAATATTTAATTAGTGAAAACTTACAATATACCAACATTAATGCTACAAATCATATTAAATACATGAAATAAAATAATACTGTTTATCCACAATAAAAAAATTAAATCATAAAAAAATATCTCTAATTACAACTAAACAAATTAACTTTGGGGAGAAACAAAAAGTTCGCAAGCTAGCTTATAAGAACGCGTTCAATCTCCATATTTTTCTGCCATTACTGATGTTCCCGCGTCTTCATTTGGCTCCAATAAACTAGAATGAATATGGATATAAACTAAGAATACTAATTATAATATAACAAAGATTTTCGAGATGCTGTAAATATTTACCTGTATTGTTTAAGCAACACACATTCACCTCCATTCTCCAAATCAATATTATATTGATAGAAATAACCTTCAGAAGTGACTACCATTACTTGAGGAGTGGTACTAATAAAGAATTTTGTAAGAATATAAACCATTAAAAAAATTTTTTGTTTAATTTGTTTCTATCATAATATACAGGACTCACTTGCTTAATGCCACGACACTTTGGACACCCGAACTAGGTAATTTAAGATATGCAAAATCACGTGTTGGTTCCCACATTTCGGTTAGAGCATCCGGAAGATAATTACCCACGCTCCCAGCAACAGTACGACCAAGGTGAAGAGATTGGCGGCGTATAACGCTAATTTCGCCAAGTTTGTAGAGAGTATTTCGCAAAATAATTCCATCATTAAGATAAAGCTTTTTTTTTTTTAAAAAAAAAAAATCTTAAATTTCAAACTGGAATAATGAAAGCTTTACCCTGTTCCAGTTTTTTTCTTTCCATCAATGAAGGCCTCAAATCCACCTATTGTTGTTGGGCCAGTAGATTGTCGCGACGGGTTTGCAACTCCCGTACTATTAGCAGTACCGTTGTTTGAACTAGAATTTCCTCCTTGACCAACTGCATTTCCTCCTAATTTGAAAACATGCACTGTTTCCGTATCACTTGAAACACACAATAATGTGCTGACAAGGTTAAAGGAGATCGAATGGATGCGCGCAGGATAAGACCCCCTTCGAAATTGATGCACCTTTATCGCATTTGGGATAGTGAATACGCGAATAACTGTACCCTAAACATATTTTAACAAATTAATTTTATTGAATATTATAAAAACAATTATTTCATGATTCTTATACCTTATCACTAGCTGTTGCCAATAAAGTTCCTTCGGAATTGATGGATACATAAGCAACTGGACTTTTATGAGCCTGAACGATGTTTACGACTTGTAATTGTAAAGCGTCGAAAATCAAAACATCACCAGATGATGAAGTATGTTGTGTTGCATGACTTGAAAAAGGAGATGAGGGAGAAGGAGTAGGAGAAGGATAGGCTATATAACAATTTTCATTCGAAGGAGAAAGGGCACAAATAGCTATTTACACAAAAGAAAAAGTTTTTTTTTAATTATCAAAATGAATTCAAATCAAAAGCATAAAGATATTAAACTTGATTACCAGATGGATTGGGGCTAGTATCAATGGTATGCAATAATTTCATATTGCTAATATCATAAACAAAAATTGTTTGTTCCAAAACGACTATCAACCTTCGACGGTTTAATTTTACCGCAAGGATCGAGGTTTGAAAGGTAAGCTCACATATTGTAGATTGACGCTTTATTATTATTAAAAGAAAACAATAATCAAAATATTAATAACCGTGTTTAAAAAATACGAGTGATTTAAATCAAATTATTAAAGCACAAACCTTTGTATTTGTAATTTGTAACCGTCGTGGTGAAAATGAAGGATGTTCGCCTGCTCCTACCAAAGCAACCAGCGATGTACAAAAAAGCATTTCCACAATACCAATACCACCATCAGCTATATAAATGACAACGCGTATAGATATCAGAATCGTGTAAATAAGCATAAATGATTTATTATAATTATAGGTTGAAAATAACATCTTTTGACTATTTAACTAGTTGTATACTATTATAAATAATTAATAAACCAAAAAAATTCGCGTCGCGTTTAAACCATTTGCCATTGAACAATTAACTCGAGTAATAAGAGAGTTTCTCGGATTATAAATAAAAAATTCTTGAATCGACCCAAGCTTACATTTTGAGTAGCATTTTCCAAACGGATCGCAATTATATATCTTATAACCATGTTGAGTTCCAACTGAAATACAGCTTTAATAAATTAAAAATATCAAGCGTTATTAAAAAATTAAGAAAGAATTCAGATCTCTATATATCATACATTAAGCCTTTACAAAGCAATTTCTTAACTACAGTGGTAAGTTTAGAAACAATAACCACTGCTTATGTAATGGAATAGAATAAAGATAAAACAAATCCTTAAAGAGCAATGTAAAGAAAAACGCGTCTCAAATCTCGACACTCGAACTATAATAAAAATGAATATAATTTGTTTATTCTATTTTTTAATTTTTTTAATTTTTACCTGAAATCCTGGTTGAAATTAATGAATAATAGCTCATTATTGCCTTTACCACTGAGATTCATTTTTTTTTCTTTTTTTGTAATATGTATATTATAAATGTAATAATTTGCAGGCTCTATATAATCTCGGACGGAGAACGAAGTAATCAGCGTGAGATAAAAAAAAAAAAAGACATAACAAACGTATATCTCTCTTCTTCACCATTATTCCGCAGCACAAGATCAGCAGATTACCAGAAACTCAGCCAAAAACTTGCATTGCATGTGTAATTTCATATTCCAAAATTTCATAAATAAAAATCTTAATTTGTACCTCTTTATTAAATAAATTTTTTACATATATTATCATAATAAAAAAAAAAGAAGAGAAAGAAAAAAAGAAAATACTATATTGAGTTAATGAAAAATGTATTTATATTTTTTTGAAATTATCGTGTTAAAATTGCTAAATTGTTCGCAATCAAAAAGCTTATATAAAAAAAGATGAAATATAGGTCATAGAACTCCTAATTTCTATAATTCATTGCAAAGAGAAGTTAGAATCAAACGCAAATATACATATTTACAAATTGAGGTACCAGTCTTATATTTCAACTTAGTAAAATAAAATATATTTCTTAAAACAAAAATGGTAAAACATTGTCATCCCATTCTTCACCAACCCAATCACTAAGCTCCATCATTTTAACTTCCCTTTGACTTTGTTCAATTACATGGCTAACCATAGCATCATATAACCAATCCAAGACAGAGGCCTCTTTGACAGATTCAACCATTGTATTGCTGTCCAACAAGGATTGCTGTTGAACTTCTGTCACGTCGTCACTAAGCTGTTCGTCCTTCAAAGAAGGTTGAGGAGTAATAGTTGCTGGTTCAAAGGATTGAAGATCAACTTCATTTACAGGTTCTAATGCAGGGGTGTTAGAATTTGGGAAAAGTGCAGAAATCATCTGATTTATCGGTGTAGCACATACTGCCTCAATAAACAACTTCGTCATTTGCTGCATTGCAGTTGAAATTAACATATGAGCGAGCCAAAATCTTTGACCATCCTTGCTCTGACTAAATTCAATCAAATTAATCATTGAAGGATATCTATATGGATAAGTGTTTCGGAAATCCAAATATGATGATACGGATTTTTCTTCGAACAGGTGTTTGTCAAGGCTGAATTCAGGAATGAAAGTTGTTTGAACTCTAACACGCGAATCTTGCCATGTTTTTTTGTTTGCAGATGAAGACGAAGGTGACGCGTCTTTATTAACATTAGGAATGACAAGATAACGAGAAGTAGGCGAAGATGGTTGTGGCATAGAAGGCATAGTTCCTTTATTTTGATTAACAATGGATCGTGAAATTTTACCATTATTACTTGTAATTTTGGATAATGATAAATTTATATTATTATTATCCTTACTTGCTGATGATGGTGAGGGAATATGTGGTGGTGAAGGTGGCGACGTTACAATTGATTTGGTATCCTGTTGCTTTCGCAATTTGTCAACTTCTTGTTGCAACTTTTTATTCTCTTCTTGCAAGTGCACCAAAGCTTGCTTAAGTATATTTATCTCCTCTTGTTGTTGTTCTTTTGTAGTTTCTAAATTTTGAATGTATTCTAATAACAAAAAAAAAATTATTATATATATTAGTAAATTTATAATGTAACACAATAATAACCAATTAAATAATTTGAAAGAAACCTTTTCTTCTAACACGGAAGTTTCTGGCAGAAATTTTATTACGAATTTGACGTCGTTCTTTCGATGATAATTTCTTCAAATCAACTGGATTATTATCATCGCTTTTCTGAGCATTGTTAACAGAATTGGTTGAAGAATTTACTGTTTGAGTCTCATTAGACTTTGGTGAATTAGAACCAGTCGATAAGGCGGACTTATTTGTAGTAGTTTCTTGTTTAATTGTAGGAAGTTTTGCTAATAATTCAGCCAACTGCGCATTAAGCATGGCCAAAGACGGGGCAACCGCAGTAGAAGGGACTAGTTGTTGAGAAACTTCATTGGTCCCTTCAATTATAGACATTGGTGTAAGTTTTAAATCTTCATTGACAGGAACTGAATCAGTTACTAAAGAAAATTCGTTAGCAGATTGCGTAGGTGTTGAATACGTGGTAGGAGTTTGTTCCAAAAGTTCTGGGTCCTTAATCAGCTCCTCTTCCAAATAATAATGGAATAGATCTGAATTTGACATGCTTCTTAAATCTACATCTTCTTCCATGGCATCGTTTCTTAGGAAATCCATGTCGATATAGGCATCGAAAGCGTCATCGTTGCCATAGAGATTGGGGTCATTGTTTGAAAGCAAATTCCTAGACATATCCATGGTTGTTTCTGGACTATGAATTCTATGGGTATAATAAAAAAATAATATTTCTCTGATTTTTATTGATGATTTGATTTGAAAATAAAACAATGTTAACTTTTAAGGAGTGAAATACAACAAAGCAAGGTTTTTCCGGGGATTTATAACCGAACAAAAAAGTATTTATTTCAATTATTACTAAAAAATTAACTTAATGGCAAATGGAGAAAATATGAATTCTCAATTGCACGTGTTTAATGTGATAAAAAATTCCTAGAAAAAAAATTTATTTTTTTTAATATAAATCAGATGATTTACTTAAATTAACGCGTCATTGATAAACGCGTCAGAGTGGTTAACAATGGATTTTACCGATATATTCAAACAATCCTTGTATCTTTGTCGCTTTTCTCCAAACGCAAAATATTTAGCTACAGCTTCACAATGTTATCTTGTTATACGCGAAGCAACTTCTTTGCAAATTGTGTTCATGATAACTTGGTCTGAAATTGTTCAGAATGTTATATGGTCTCCTGATTCAGAATTAATATTAATATCTAGTTATAAAACTGGCAAAGTCACTATATATAAATTAAATGATAAAAAATGGAGTGCGGATATCGAAGAAGGAACATTTGGCCTAACTAATGTAAAATGGAGTTCAGATGGTCGAACCGTGTTATGTTTTTCCGACTTTCAGGTTATTGTGGAGACATAATTTATGACCCTGATTTAAAATAATATTTCGATCAATGTACTTTGTTTTTATTAAAATTATTCGTATTTAATAATATAGCTACGAATAACAATATGGTCATTAATGACTAAAGAAGTGTGCTACATACAATATCCCAAATATTATGATAAAGGTAAATTAAACATTCATTTGGTATTATACTTTATATGGAACACCCAATAATAATATATATATATTATTTCTTCCTAAGGATTCGACTTTCGAAAAGATGGCCATTATTTTGTTTTAGCGGAACGTCGTGATGGTAAAGATTATTTGGGAGTCTATGATTGTGATAATTCATTTAAAATGATGAAAGTAAATAATTTGTATAATCTTGACGTTTTTATTTGGTTATTCCATGTATTATTAGTAAATAAACTTTTTATAGCATTTTCAGGTGGATACGTTTGATTTGGAGAATTTAGCTTGGTCTCCCGATGGACGATATATAGCAGTGTGGGACAATTGTATTCATTACAAAGTACTAATATATACACCAGACGGACGATGTCTACAAACATATTCAGCATATGACAATGGATTAGGTGTAAAATCTGTTACATGGTCTCCTTCGAGTCAATTTTTGGCTGTTGGAAGTTATGATCAAAAAATTCGATTTCTCAATAATTATACTTGGACACTAATTATTGAATTTACACATGCTATCCAATTGAAAAATCGAGACTTGGTAAGATAAAACACATTTAGTCTCTTTGCTTTTAATTAAAAAGATTAAATAATGTTATCCGTATATTCAGACAATATGGAAAGAAGAGTTAGATAGCTTAAAGGAATCTGGAAAAACTGTTGCTCATTGTAAGTTTATGTATATCGGTTTCCGGTATAAACATTTAAAATATTAAATATGTTATTCACAATTCGTATAGACATAACCTTAGAACAGCCCCTTCTAGAATTACATTCAATTAGACCTGATCCAGAAAAACCCAATCCAAAAATTGGTGTTGGCGTATGCAAGTTCAATGCCACCGGAAGTTTAATAGCTTCTCGTAACGGTAATTTTTTTATTAATTTTTTTCTTTTTATCAATTATAATATTTTATAATAATGGGCAAATGTTTTTTACTATAATAAACAGACAATATGTCTGATTGTCTCTGGATTTGGGATATTTCAATGATGAAGCCTATCGTTTTAATCGTACATTTATCGTCAATACGGCATTTCTACTGGAATCCTATTAATCCAGAACAATTAGTGATATGTTGTGGTAATAGAAATGTGTATTTTTGGTCTGGTCAGAAATCTGGTGCTGAAATAATCGAAGTACCTGCTAGTAAGTAGCTTAAGAATTTATTTTAATAAAAAATATATTTTTTTCTTTATATTAATATATTTCATTTATCAAATCTTATAGTCAGTTTTAAAGTTAACAATGTTAAATGGAATCCAAATGGTAAATCTTTAGTTTTAATGGATAAAGAAATATTTACTATGCTTAACATTACCAAGTAGATCTTATTTTTAATAATAAAGTAATTTAGTAAATAGAATTAAAAAAATCATATATCAAATTTAATTCACCGTAAAAATAAATTCCAAGTCATGTGCACACTAATTTATCATTAGCCCAAATTATTTAAATCAATGAAAAAAAAATATTGATCGAAAAAATTAAGGGAATTGGAAAAGGCAGATAAAAACCACGAAGAAGCAAAAAGAAAGTCGAGGAAGTTTGAGGAAGGTGAAAAGTTTAAGATTGAATTGAGGAAGGTGAATGGTGAAAGAAGAAAAGAAAATTTTGGAGGGGGATAAGAAAGATTTGGAAGGTTGAAATAAAAGATTGAGAAGAAAGAAGAGTTGAAGAAGGAGAAGAAGGATTGGGGAGAGCAAGTGAAGGAGTGGGGAAAGGCATTGCGTGAATTTGGTAAAGGAGAAGGTAATGAACAAATTGCATAAAAAAATATACAAAAAATTATTTTCACTCATTCCATTTCGTTTATTTACTTATTTGCTATACAGTTGAATCTCACTATAACGAATTTCTATATTCCGAATTTTTTGTTATTGTGAATTTCATGAGTGGTCCCAAATTTTATTAAATAAAATAATTGATTATAACGAATTTTTATAATAAAACTTACTATTATGTATAACGAATTGAAAATCCTGTACCAAGTATATTATAATAAATGGCACTTTCATTACCACCACCATTACCATCACCATCATCAATATTATTACCATCAACAATAGCACAAACAACATCACCAACACCAATACCACCAATATCATTATCATCATCATCATCATCAACTAGAGCTCCGAATCAGGTCAACCTGTGACCCGACCCGACCTGACCTGAAAAATCCAGGTCAGGTACCTGATAAAATTCAGGTCAACCAATCAAATTAAACGAAATAAAATATTTTAAAAAAATTTTTTTTTGTCTATTTTTTTTTTTAAAACATCTTTAATTTTTAAAAAACATCTTTAATTTTAATTTTACTCTTTCCCAAAAAATAACAAAAATGCCAATAACTAGACAAACGAAAAATAAAACCGCTAATAAAAACTCTCAAACTTTTTCAAATAATAAAAGAAACAATAACAACACGAACGACAACACTTCTTCTAGCTCCAGCCAACAAACCTTACTTACTGCACAAACTGAACAACCCAAAAAAGTTAAACTCTCTTTCGACAATTTCTCCCAAAATATAGAAACCCCTTTGGAATAAACTATTAACAATATTATTACTGGAAATGACTTTATTTCACCTTCTAACGACTCAACAATTGAACATACTACTCCAGAGGCCATGGATATTGACTCAACTTCTACTGACCCAAATGATAAAGAAACTTATTCTTCTCCAACTAATGATACGACTAATAACTCTATGCACGCTTCCAGTTCCAGCTCCCACAACAACAATAATGATGTTCTTCATCCAATTACAAACCAGATTATTACCAACAAAGGTAAATAAAAAGAAAATACATGGTCTGAAGAAATGGAAAACGAAAACAAAACACGTGATCAAGATACTCAAGAAATTTCTTTCAACATTATTACTGCATCCACACGTTTCTACACGACAGATAACGCCTCAGACATAAAAGAAATTCAATTGCTGAAAAACGCATATTCGTCAACTCCCTTTTCATTCATTACAACAGATACCAAGGCTTGACATATATTTCCAAAATTAGAAAATTCTTTATTTACTTTGACATGATAGACTCCCTAAAAATGCACTCACAAAGACACAAGAAATACAATATAATCCTATTTTTACCATTGTCGATCCTGCGGTCAAACAACAAAGACAAGATGCCGAAAAAAAACGAACCATAAAAGTATTCGATATTCCTCTATTTATCAAATCAGATGTTGTTAGAAACTACTTCACTAAATATGGAAAGATCTCCCAATTTTCTATGATCATCTGTGAACCCTGGCAGATCGCCTTCATTGTTTTTGACAAATCTGATTCAATCAAAGCTTTTTACAATCGAGTTTGGTTTATTACTTTTTTAGAATTTCTGCTTAGAATAGAACCAACTGATCTTGATCCCACACAAACGGCACTAAGACAGCAGTTCGAACTTAAACTTACAGGGTTACCCTTCAACACTGATTAATAACAACTTATTGACTTTTTACATCACATTAATGTCAAATCCTGTTTCATTCCACATGATCAACAATATAGACTCAAGCCATATGCCTTTATTAACTTTGCTAGTGCTGAAGATGTCGCAGCAGCTTCTTCACAATCGCAAAAATTCAAAGGAAAATATTATATTGGATGGCTTCTTCCAAAAAATACTGTAGAAGCTGTGGTGCTTCCGATCATGAATTTAAAGATTGTACTAACCATAAACCTATCAATCCTATCGTTTTTTATATGATCGTTTCAAACCAGAACAATATCGTTCTCCAAGACCTTTCAACAATAACAATGGTGACCCGTCCAAATCATACTCTCAGACACTTACTGACCCAAAAAACCCCTTTCCCTCCTAAGGAAAGACAAGCAATGTTCCTCCAAATATGGTTAACGCCCTTAAAGTTTTCCAAGAAAAACTTGATATCATTGAAAACAAACTCGTCTCGATAGATGATGAAATAGTTTCTCTAAAAAATGCAGCTATTAAGCAAGATCAAAACCAAAAAGACATTGACTTTTACCTCAACTGTCTAGAATTTATGCACTATGTCATACATGATCCTGATCAAATTGATGATCCCACATATGAATTTTCACTTCACAACGGTATTGAGAAAATGGAATATGTGCTAAATAATCCTCCTGTTATTAACAATGATCAAAACGAATCTGTACCTAACATAGTTTCTAACAACTTATCTAATTCCCAAACGAATAACCTTAATCACATTATTTTAGTTGAAACCTCAGTTAATGACATTAGATCTGAAATCAGAGAAATTTTAAGTGCTTTACGTTCTATGATTCAAGCGTCAACATCATCCAATTAATGAGTGTATACCAATTCAATCAAAATAATGGTATTCAATCAGTCCACCTTAATAATAATGAAAAAATATTAACAAACGACAATTTCTATTCTCATTTCAACGACCCTAATTTTTTTCTTTCGTCACTCAAAATGTAAGAAGCTGTATCTCCAAAGAAAAAATGTTCCAAATAGAATTTTTTTTTACTACTTATAATTTTGATATTCTAGGACTTAGTGAAACTCATTTAAATTCAGCTCAAGCTCTTTATCTTTCAAAAAAATTTCACAATAAATCATACAAATTCATCTTTTCGTTAGAAAATACCCTAATTAATTATCAAGGTGTTGGTTTTATTATTAGATCTTATTTACATCAACATATTTTCTTTCAAAAGTTCATACTTGACAGAATTGCTTACATCGACCTCCAGTTCAAAAATAAGACTAAATTAATAATTATCCAAATTTACCTTCCAGCTAATACTACAGATCGTGATCAATTATTACTAAGACCAAAATTAAAAAATATGATAATTAATATTATTCTAGAAGCTCAGTCCAAGTCCTATCACATAGTTTTAATGAGAGATTTTAATGTTGATTTTACAAGCTTCAACATAAATATAATAATACGAAAAGAAATAGAACTTGTAGATCCTTCATTGATAAAATTCTCAACCTTAATTTCATCCATACTGCCTCGTTAATCTTAAACCCTTCAAAAAAATTACCCCATATATTTACCTCCTCCCAAAAAACTCATACACATATCGATTATATCTTCACTTCAATTTCTCTCTCTCACGATCTCACCTCTTTCAAAATTTTCGATTCCGCTAGCACTATTCATAAATCAGACCACTTACCTTTGCATATCACGATTTACAAAAATAATATCTTCAATACTTTGTCCAATGCTTATCGCAAACAACATAAGACCACTCAAAAATCTTACAACTTTGATAAGACCGCTTTCTTACACTAGGATTTATTCTCTGACAAATTGGATAAGTTAATTAAAGAATTGAAAAGTTTCCAAGACCCTAATATTTTTGGTTTCTCTCAAACTTTGCTTAATCAAGTTTGGGAATTTTTTGTGCAATCAGTAATTTGTGCTGCCAACAAACACATCCCCAAAACTACTACTACATTACATCACAAGTCCCTTTATAATTACGATAATTCTATTATTCACAAACAAATTAAGAAACTTTATAAACTTTACCACAAAACAAAAGTTTTCATAGATAAGATTTCATCTGGTCCAATTCCTTCATCCTTCCCATTTATCATGTCTTCCGAAGAACATAAAGCAGTTTTGACCATTGCTACTGAGCATAAAATATCTTTAGCTTCTCTAGACTCTTTGTTTTATCAAAATGATCTTCATTCATATCTCATCGACTTGAAAGCTTCAATCATTAAACCACTAGAATGCAAGTTAAAAATAGTTTTTAAACAAAAAAATACTGATAGAATTAAAGCTTTCATTTCACAAAGAGCAGACAACTATAAAGATGCTCCCTCTAAAATGATTGACTTGTGTCTAGAAAGGTCTAGAAATACTATCATTCTTGATAGAATTCTCATTAATGAACCCAATCAGTACCCGTATCTCGAAGTAGACCAAAAAAAATTAAGAAAGCTACCACTTTACATTTTCAAACAATGGTTAGTTCACTAAACAAGGAAGTTACAGATCCAACGACCCCTAACTTTTCAAATTTCTGGTCCTAATGGGAAGAATTTTATCATCCTCTTCCTTCCATTAATAACGATATTTACGATCAAGTCTTAGATCTTCCCACTTATGACGAATGGCTTCTCATTATCAAACATCTTCCTAATGAAAAAGCTCCTGGCCCTACTAACATCTCTAATGAGTTTCTTAAAAAATTGGTCCCGTTAGTGAATAAATTTTTATATCATATAATATGTGTGTGTTTTATGTCTGGTCTCACACCTAGGCAATGGAACTTAGCTCACGTATATCCAATATCCAAGCCAAAATCATGGAACTGCGATCT